CTCCCCTAGCCTCCTGGAAGCCCACGGCTCATACCTTTAGCACGTTCTTCAGTGGTAAGCAGGGCAAGGGTGTGGGCGTGGGGTTGAGGGGATCAGCCCCTAACCAAAGCAGAATCTGGAATCCGCTCACCCCTATAAAAGCCTCTTGATGAGCTAGTAAGGGACGGAGAAAGAGGAGACCGGGCTCCTTGACCTCCCGCCCCCACCCGAGACCTGTCTAAGAATTCCCAACAAAAACATCTCTGGGAACCAACTCTCCCTCAGAAAGAGGTCGTCCCAACACAGGATTCCCCCAGGCATGCTCGCAGGATCCCTCCCCTTGGAAGAGACCCCGAGTTACCGGATGCCTCAAGATCTGTCTACGCGGGCCCCCAAGTACTGGATCCCTCGTACCGTTGGTTCTCCCAAAACTCGAGAAAGAGATCACCCCTTCCTACACGCGCTGGCTCCCAGGGTCCCCCAACCTGGGAATCCAATCCCCGGCGAAACAGGGTCCCCAGAACCTGGGGAAAGAGCTCGCCGGGACTCAAAACCCCTCAGGAGGATGCCCCCCGATCCCCCCAACCAATCAATCCTAGAGACGGGACCTCCCCACGAGGCGTCCCCCCCACCGTACCTGCCCGCGTGGCCCAGGCCACGCACCGTGCTCCCTGCCGCCGAAACGCCCAAACGAGCTCCGGGAGGATGAGACCGCCGAGTCCACCCGCTCTCACCGCCGCCACCTTCAATTCACCAACTGCGACGCTCGCGGCGCCCTGTGGGGGCCGCCATTTTCTCGCCCACGTGACCGGGCTGGCCGGCACCAACGCAGCGCTGGGGGGGTGTCCAGCCAGAGACTCCGCGGCAGGAGGGAGGTCTGGAAGCACGAGTCGGCATCGGTGCCACAGCTCACACTCACACAGAAGATGGCGTCTAAGGGCGTCCCTCAGGGAAGGGAAGGGCAACGTCCACTCTTTCCGCGGAAGGCATTCCTTTCCACTCTCTCCCCCCCAGGTACGTGAAAATGGTTTGTGCCAATTCAGTCCGGAGCCCGGCGCGGGGTAGCGACGGAGCAGGCGCCGCGGCCCTGGGGCGTGGTCGAGTTCGGGGGCGTGGCCGATGGCGTCAGGTGCCTGGACTCCAGCCGGGGAAGGGAGGACGCCGGTCCTTTATTTCCGACCCGATGGAGTCGCTCGTTCATCGTTCACTTAACAAATAGTTGATGGGGGCTGAGGACGAGACAGCCTGCCATCCTTACCCTCGAAAACCTCACAACCTGGTCGTCTGAGGGAGTCAGACAAGCAATAAATACGGAAAATTCATGGCAGGTGGTGACACCTGTTAAGCCGTATAGTTCAAGGGCGATGAGAAGTCTTAGGGGGCGTGGCCAGGGGCTCAGCTGGTGACGTGCGAGTAAACACCTGGCAGGTGCGGGAAAGAGCCCTGGGGATGGTTGGGGGAGAGACACCAGACTTAAGAAGAACTTGGCTTGTACTCTGACGCAGAGAAGCCTGAAGTGCTCTGACCAGGGAAGCACCGGTGAGAAGTGTTCTAACTTCGGAAAGTGGAAAAGAAGCACCGGTTGCAGCATTGTTTGTAGTGGCAAGGAAAAAAAATCGGAAAAAATAGTAAAGTGTAGCCCCTCTTACGCCTCGGGGTGGGGGGTGTCCAGCCCCGCTCATTCACCTGGACCAGCGCAGTCCCTTTCAGCCTGCCTTCCTGGCTGCGGTCCTCACCCCTCAGCGTCTGTCATCTCCGCAGCGGCCACCAGAGGCCACCTGTGGGCCAGTGAGCCAGGCCCCGCCCTCCTCTGTCCACAGCCCTCCAGGGCTACCACCTCGGTCAGGATAAAAGCTCAAATTCTCCCCTGACCCCCGAGGCCCTGCATGACTTGCCAGGTTTTGAGTTGGAGCAGGAAGTGCCCAATCTGTTTGAATGAACTGAACACCCGCTGCACACCAGCCGTGGTACGAAGCTCTTCATACAAAGGGTAAATCCGCATCATTCCTAACGTGGTTGGATGCTGCCGGAGGTGGGGGGCGGGGCTCCCTGACCTCTCCTCCCTCTCTCCTTGTTGCTCACTCTGCTCCAGGCACACAGGCCTCCTTACTCTTCTCCAACACACCAGGCTCAGTCCTTCCCCAGGGCCTTTGCACGTGCTGTGCCCTCTGCCTGGACTCTTCTTCTCCCTGGTACTCCCATACCTGCTTCCCTTCCTCCTCTGGGTCTCTGCTCACATGTATTTCCATATGGCCTTGGACACCCTATTTTAAGCTTGAACTCCCCTCTTAGTAGTCCCAACCCTTAGACCTTGGTACCGCCACACCAATACCACTTTTTTTTTTTTTAGATTTTATTTATTTATGTTAGAAAGAGAGTGCGCACACACATATGCACACACGTGCGTAAGCAGGGCGGTGGGGAAGGGGCAGAGGGAAATGGAGAGAAGTAGACTCCCTGCTGAGCGCGGAACCCGACTTCCCCCTCGATCCCACGACCCACGATCATGACCTGAGCCGAAATCACGAGTGAGAAGCCCAACCGACTGAGCCACCCCAGTAACACTCTTCACTTTCTAACCCAATACATCAATTACTCTAAGGTTATCTTGAATGTCATCTCCATGAAGGTAGGGATTTTCCCAGGAGACCAAACAGCTCAAGCAAAGGCCCTGGGGTGGGGATGGATATGCAAAGTAGCCAAATGGGGGGGGGCGCTGGGCGGAAGCAATTTGCGCTGTGATTAATCCGGGCAGATGGTGGCCTTGGAGGAGCCCCAATCCTCTTACCCAAAGCCCCTAAATACTTCCGCCACGCAGGTCACCTCCGGGCCTCTCCTGCTCTGGGTGGCCATCATGTCAGGGCCGGCAGTCGAGGAGGGGATGGAGGGCTGGAGCCCGGCGCCACCGCTGTATGAGGAGTACCGCCCACCACCTCTGGATACCATCCGCCTGCCCAGGTATGCGCTGTACCTGCTGCTGGCGGCGTTCCTGGTGGTGGCTGTGGCCTATGCCATTGTGGGGCATCTCATCAAGGACCTCGCCCACGACCTGGCCGGTGGGTGAGCTGCTGTCTGCCATGAGCCCAGCTTGGGACAGTGTTGGGCCACTCTCAGGTGTGGGGGGGGCACTCCAGGGCCCCTCGCAGCAGGGGAGGGGACAGAAGGTGGATGAGCCCCAGGAGGTTCCTCACCAGTGTCCTATTGCAGACTGGGCCTTTGGCCCGAAGCCAGACCAGGAGGACGCCCCCCGGGAGCTGCGCTCGAGCCTGGAGGGCGAGGATCTGGAGGAGCTCGACCTCCAGCTGGCCCTGGCCTGGCGGGGTGATGAGGACCCTGCCGGGGGTGGCGATACGGCCCCTGCAGAAGCCCCCACCCCGGCTCCCAACCGCTCTTCCATTGTCTTCAAGGACCCGCCTGCTCGGAGCTCCTTCTGGAGGCTGGGCTGAGCTGGGCCCTGCCCTCCGGCCCCAGGACCTGGGTTTGAACCCCTTTGGAGTTGTGTGGACGGGACTTGTGCACGCGGGATCCCTTGCTCCCCTGAGCAGCCGGACTTGGCAGAGAACGTTGTCTTTCTTGGCTGGCGGGTTCCCACGGTTGATCCCTGGGACTCTCTGCACTCCTGCGCACCCCGACCCAGTAGCCCCAGAGCCTGATTCCGCCCAACCTCTGCTCGATTTTCAAAGAGTAACAGTGGTAACCGAGGCCTTAGTCTGTCCCTGCTCTTGTGCTCAGTGAGCCTTTTCCACGTATTACGCTGTTTAATCCCCACTGGCCAGGACTTTTCGCTCCCACTTACCAGGTGGGAACATGGAGGCACAAAGCCCGGAGATGACTTGCCTGGAGCAGAGCAAACTTTTTGCAGAAAGAGGCCAGTTCCATGACCTGCCTTCGAAGGAAAGCAGAAGCCCCAGGATGGGGTTCTGGCCCTGCTCCACCGAATCTGCCCCAGCCCCACCCCCCACCTCCTCCCTTACACTCCCCAGCTCTGCTGCTCTGCCCACTGGACCTGTTGGTCTCTGGGGTCCTGGCTTCCCAGCTAACTTGAGAGCTCCTGGAGGACAGTGCCTGAGGCTTCCTCCCTCCCCTCTGAGCTGGGCACAGGACTGGGCACAGGGTCAGAGCTTCGCAGGTGCCACTTGGGGGGTTGAGATGGGCTCGCTTCGGGCAGCTGCCTGAGCTCCGCCACTCCTGATGGCCCACTGAGCAATGATGATAGCCAGACCTTAGGGTCGGGGGAGTCCCCAGGTATGCATAGGTGCTCCTTAAAGGTGTGTGCAGTGATGCTGGCACCCCTCCCAGCCCCCTAGGGCCCTGCAGAGCGGGAGGGGGAGCCCCCCCTCCGGTGTAGGGGCTTCCTGCCACGTGCCTGGGCCATGGCTGTCCGGTGGCAGCTGGGGTGGGGCACTCTTTCTCCTGGGCAGGGTTCCCTATCTAATCGGCCGGGGACCAAGGTTGATGGACAGGAGAGCCTGGAGCCTGAGTCATCAGCTACCTGGGTGTCCCATTCTCCCACCATCAAGGCGTGGCTGGGCTTGGAGATGGATAGTGGGCACCTGGCCGTCATTTCTTGTCCCTGTGCTCATCCCAGTATTGGCTGTGGGTCCCCAGGGGTCCGGGAGCCAGGACATGGCCATATAAGCTGGTGGTAGGGGGGAGACCCCAGCGCCAGCTGTTTCTGCGTGATGTCCGTTCTCCTGGCCTCCTTGGGCTTCTCTGCAAAATGGGGATGGAGACACTTTGTGGGGTGTTCAGAGAAGGAGACATAAGGACGCCTGGTGGCCCCAAGCCCAGGCCCATCTCAGCCTGGCCGCAGCAGCACGGAGCCTGGGGGACCTGGAGGCTGGGTCCTGGGGCAGGCACAGGGTGGAGGGGCCGGACTTCTGCGTTAATTGTTATACGAGGTCCAGAGTCTGACCTGCAGGTCTGGACCGGCCCCGCCCCTAGGCCTGCCTGCTGCCATATCAGGGGCTGGGCAGGGCCTCACCCAGCCAACCTTGACCGTGCACCGCCGCGGCTCTTCCATGACCATGGAGACCCTGGAGGTCCTTCTCCTACTCAGCGCCCTACTCCTGTCACCTGCAGAGGCTCAGCAGGGTAGGACCTGATCTGGACCTGGTGGGGCGGTTGGCGGGGGACAGGGGTGGGGAGGGTCCTGGGAGGAGCTCACCCATAGGCTCACCGTCTCCCCATTTTTCATGATGAGGAACCAAGACCTCTGAAAGGAGGGGCAGGCAGAGGAGGAATGGGGCCAGACCCCTCTTGGAGCCCCACCAATCCCCACACTCTCTTGGGGCCTCTCTCCCCATCCCTGAGATGCTCCCAGGCCCCTCCCGTTCTCTAGAACGGGTCTCTGACACCCAGCACTCCATCAGCATTCCCCATCACCCTTCCCCTCTCTCCCCTTCCGGGGGGGGGGGCAGACCCCTGGCCTGGCCCCATCTCTGAGTCCCAGCTGCTCTACCTCCGGACAGCCTCGCAGTATCGCCCGAAGCCCTGGCTGGTGGGCCTGGCTGCCGTCGTGGGGTTCCTGTTTATCGTCTTCGTCCTCATGCTGGTTAATCGCGTCTGGTGCTCCAGAAAGAGGTGGGAACCCCTCTCCCCACTCCCCACAGCCACTGTCCCTGTCCTCCTCTTCTCCCCAAAGTGCTGGGCACCCCTCCTGCTTCCTGACACTCTCTGGTCCCCTCCCTCCTGTCTCCCCATTTCCCTGCTCCTGCTCAGACAGGCCTCACAGCCTCAAGGTCTGGGACAGCCATGCAACCGAGCCACCCTGCTTTGTGGGGTTCATGTGCCTCAGCCAGGGGAGACTCTGAAGGCGACCTCCTGCCCTTCACTTACCTTCACCTCTCTGTCTCTTGCAGAGCTGAGGATGAGGAGTTAGCATTCGGTATGGAGTCCAACCCCTATCATGACGTAGCCCTGAGGTACTGCCTGTGTGAGTGTGTGTGGGTGTGTGCAGGGTTAGGGGGTTTGTGGGAGCCTCCTCGGGGCGTGAGGAGAGATGGGCATGCACAGATGACCTCTTTCTGTTCTTGAACTCCTCAAACACATTCCTGCCCCAGGACCTTTGTACACACTGTTCTCACCGATTGGAACAGCCTTTCCTGTATCTTCTGGCTGGCTCCTCCTTCAGTCCCTGTTCAGATATTTCCTCCTCGCAGAAGCCCACCCTGGCTGCCAGCCTGCCTGACGCTGCGCCCACAGCTGTGCCTTCCTCTGTGCACTTACCACCAGCTGAAATTATCTTAGTCATTACACCCTTTCTTGACACTTGCTGGTAGCTTCCAACAGATGAATAGAACATAGCTTGGGTCCTAGCTGTGTTCCCAGGGCTCAGCATGGGGCTTGGCACACAGTAGGTCTGTTGAACAAGACCGTGGTGTCAGATTGGGTGGGTGTCTGTGCACGAGCATGTGATCTGGGATGGGTGACTCTCCTGGACTCCATGTTTTCTATGGTCCTGACTGGTTCCAGACATGATTCTGGTGGAAGGCTCAGGGAGGTGGCAGGGCTGGGGGCCCTTTTAGTGTAATATCCTAGCTTGGGCAAAGTTGGGGGGGTGGGAATAGGAGTGCAGGAGATGGGAGGAAGCCAACCTGACCAGAAGATTCTCAGCCAAGCCCAAGATGTATTTTGAGGGAGAGATGTAGTCCCAGTTATTTGCTTTGTCTCAGAACCAGTGCAGTGCCTATGAAATGTGATTCTCATTCCCAGGATGTGCGGGAGGTTCTCAAACCCACCTAAGCTCCCGTGTTGGTAGTTTTCTCCCTGCCTGTTCATTTCTCCATCCATCCATCCACCCACTCATCCATCCACCCATCCATCCATCCACCCACCCACCCACCCATCCATCCACCCACCCACTCATCCATCCACCCATCCATCCATCCATCCATCTACCCACCCACTCATCCATCCATCCACCCACCCACTTATCCATCCACCCACCCATCC